ATTGATCATTATTTTGATTTAAATATAATTTACCTCGATCAAGTCAGGAATATCGTCGGTGGTCTGCTCTTCCTCATCCTTCACTATTTTGATAATTATATACTCACTTGTTAGATTAGCGATGTAGTAATTTGTGAGCTTGATGTCGAACTGCAACATCATTTCCTCTATTTGTAGGAGATGAGCATGTGGTGGTCCTCTAATTCTATCATTGTCTTGGTATAGCCTTTCAGTCGACATTTAAAAAAACAACCTTCCACTCCATCCATAACAACAAAGTTAGCCTCTCTCGTTTTGTCCGCAACTCGAAGGTTGATCCTGAATCTGTATATTGATGGTAATAACATAAAAAAAATTAAAATTGTTGAAGTACACCTTACTTTTTAGGTGTTAAATACAAATCTTAATAATTCAGTCAATAATACAAAAATAGTTTCATTAGGTACGATAGGTGAGCATAAGTTGTTTAGATATTTATTTAATACTTTAGTATGTACGTACGGTTTTCGCTTGTATAAGTACCATGCATTGCTAATTATTAAGAAAAATGTTCTTTTTTATGCATTAGTAATATAATCTTTGAATTATAAAATAAAATATAAATTATATTTTGAAAGATTAATTATTCAATCACTTGGCATATATATTCATCAACGAACTATACCTAATCAAATTTCATGTTAATAATGCTTGCATTACCTTGATGTTGTTGTTTTAATGTCTTTGTAGAATTCCCATAGAAGTACTCGGCGGACTCTTCTTCGAGTTTTTGTGGACAGGTTTCGCATCCAGCATAGCACCATCAATTCTTAACTTTGATAACTTTGCATTTGACGAAATACATATTTACCTTCATATTACTAAAAGTGTTAGTATTTGTTAGCTAAAGGGTTGTTGAATCGAATATGATGCTTACATCTTCTCCAACTTTCATTTTTAATTGATTGAGCTCATGTAGAGTTTTAGATGGGATTGACTGTTGAGCTTTTCATGGGAGAAATTGGTGCGTTGTCGACACTTTAGTCACCCAAAAAGAATGTTAATTAATCTCTTTTGTTCTTTGAAGTCCAAAATTAATGACTTTTAAAATTCTTGGATTTGCCAGCAGAAAGGTTGCTCCAATTGAGCATAAGGTGTTATCGCGTGCAAATTTGATGATCTTTGAATTAATTGTCATTAATTTATTTTCAAATGCTTGTATTAATAATAAAGTAATTTAGATGTATCTTTACTATTGTACTTATCAATATATAACGACGTAATGACCAGGATGAGAGGGTGATCACCCGCACTTGCAAGGATACCATTTAATTGAGTAATTAGAGGTAAAGTAATGCATGCTATTTTAAACGAAATGCCAAGAATTACATACTCTGGAAGTTTTAGTTGAAGCTCTTTGCGATTACCTTTTCCAGTGAGTCTAGTAGTTGTCACTAAATCCCAATACTAAATAAGCTGGCCAACAACATCTGCGGAATGAAAATTTCTAAAAGTATATGGGTGTACACGCATAAAAGTGAAGTAATTTTGAATTGAGAAAGTAATTTGAACCTGAAAGGAATTTCCTTTCTTTGCACTTGGAGTTAATTGCTAGTGTCATAGATGTACAGTTGATAAAATTTTGGCCTGTTCCTTTCTGTAGGTATCAAGCTACCGATTCGATGATATACTTGTACACACTTTAAATGGTAAGATGTATATAACAATGCTAATAAAAATATTTGTACTTACATTTAATTTTTAATGAACGAATTAAAGTATTATTTTATTGTTTGGATGACTCTCCTTGTGAAGTATTAGGCATATAACTACAAAAAATCAGCTAAAAAGTATTCAATCTAAATAATGCTCATGTTAGAAGTTTGTCATTGTCAACTATTTCTCTTATAATATTTAGGGCTAAATTACATGTTTGGTCACTCAAATTATACAAATCTTTCACGTTTGCCACCCGAATTACTTTTCTTTCTTATTCGCCACTAACTTTACGAATCATTTCACGGTTGGTCACCGGCCGTTACACTCCGTTAAGTTTGTCCTACGTGGCAGTCAACTATAAAGTTTGACCGTTAACTAGATGACGTGGAAATTAAAAAAAATAAAAAAATAAAATTTTCTTTCCACCTCATCATTACACTTATTTTTTCTATATAATTTATAATATTAATAATTTAATAAATTACAAAAATGGGCAAAATAAGTGCCCATTTTAATAAATAAAAAAACTCACTGACCCTCCCAAAAATAGGCTGCCGCAGCAGATTGAATTGAACCCAGATCTCTGATCTCTCTCTATTTATTCCAGACGGCCCTCCTTCTCACCTGAAAACTTCCCCACTCTGGAAATTCCCCTTTAATTCCCCGCAAAAATACCCCACAAGAAGGAGCTGGTGATGGATTCGGTCGGACGGGAAGTGGTTCTGATCACCGGCTGCTCACAAGGAGGCATCGGCCACGCCCTGGCTCGAGAGTTCGCCGCCAACGACTGCCGGGTCGTGGCCACGAGCCGGTCGAAGAGCACGATGCGGGACCTGGAACAGGACCCGCGGTTCTATCTCCAGGAACTGGACGTCTCGTCGGCGGAAAGCGTCGAACGGGTGGTTTCGGACGTCGTCGGGAAGTATGGGAAAGTGGACATTCTGGTCAACAACGCCGGCGTTCAGTGCGTCGGCCCTCTTGCTGAGATCCCCCTCTCTGCTGTCCAGAGTACCTTCGACACCAACGTTTTCGGTAAGATTTTTTTTGGATTCCTGGAAACCCAATTTGCCCAATTTTTTTGGATTCCAAGAAGCTAGGTCCTCCATTCGTTCAATTTCCAGCGCGAGACTCACTCCGGCAACCACAGAGGCGGTGGGGCCGCGGCGGAAGCATCTGCTCACATTCACGCCGACGTTCTCGGCGGGTCAGTGAGTTTTTTTATTTATTAAAATGGGCACTTATTTTGCCCATTTTTGTAATTTATTAAATTATTAATATTATAAATTATATAGACAAAATAAGTGCAATGATGAGGTGGAAAGAAAATTTTATTTTTTTATTTTTTTTTTAATTTCCACGTCATCTAGTTAACGGTCAAACTTTATAGTTGACTGCCACGTAGGACAAACTTAACGGAGTGTAACGGCCGGTGACCAACCGTGAAACGAGTCGTAAAGTTAGTGGCGAATAAGAAAGAAAAGTAATTCGGGTGGCAAACGTGAAAGATTTATATAATTTGAGTGACCAAACATGTAATTTAGCCTGAGCATAATGGAGATATTTATATTCAAACAAATTACTACTACTACTATTTATCATGGTTAGTAAAATACGGTACGGGTAAGTTGTGTATAAAATATGTATGGGTATTTTACTTTGTCTCGAAACTAACGTTAGTATGTCAATAATCATAAATATATAAAAATTAATTATTTTAAATATAAATAATAGTTAAGTTAACAATTTAATTCATTAAATACGGATATTAACCGTGTTATATCATATCTGCGGTTTTTACGTGTTTAGTACGAGAGTCGCCAAATGAACGGGAAAATAAAACGACTTGACAAAAATACAGATACGAAAAATTTAAATGGATAAAATACATAAAGATACATATATGTATATTAAACTGAGTATTTACTAACTATGCTATTTATAATCAAAGAAATAATATAAACTATTTACTAACTATGCTATTTATAATCAAAGAAATAATATAAGGAGCTCAACATACTAAAGATTTGTAGTTCTATAATCAATACCATCCTTCTGGAATTTGTATGCTCATAATTGGGCCCATATCTGGAAATATAGGCCTTCATCATGTCACTTCAAGCTCGCATATTTGGTGGCCGTTTTGTTTTTGTTAAAATTAAGTTTAACATCTTTATGTTTGTTTAATAATGTTGCGCGTGTAATTGCCTTCCCCAAACCCAATTAAAGTCCTCGTTGATTTTATTTAAATGCCCCTCCGCCGTTTGCGCAGAAGGCAGAGAATTTTGAATTAATGAGGTTCTGGAGGAGAATAGGGATGGCAATGGGTCGGGTTGGGTCGGGTTTTGCCAAACCCAAACCCAAACCCATGGGTTTATCTTTGGAAAAAACCCGGGATAAAATCCACTGGGTTTGAAAAACTCAAACCCAACCCAACCCGTTGGGTATCCGCGGGTTCATGGGTACCCACGGGTTTTGGCGTAAAAAATTTACAATTACAAGTTCTTATCAAAATTAAAGTCAAATATCAATCTCTCAATACAAATTATCCATATATAAAACACCATCCTAGAAAATTCAAGCAAATCACAAATTAACTATACAAATTGTTCAACACCAATCTAGAAAACTCAAGAAAATTGAAGCAAATCACAAATTATCCATAAATAACATGTTTAATTGAAAGCTTCTTCCTTTCAATTAAGTTTCTTTACTCTCCACTCCATAATATCAACTTCATTCTACACAATTAAAAATAAAAAATTAGACATGTCTCCACAAACATAAATAAAATTAGTTGTTTAGAATATTAAATATACCGAAAAATTAATTATATGGGTGGGCGGGTACCCACGGGCCGGGTTTACCTAAACCCAAACCCAACCCAACCCGGTGAATAGTGAACGGGTTTAAACCCAAACCCGACCCAAAACCCGTCAACACGGATTTTACCCGCGTTGACCGGGTTGGGTCGGGTGGGTACCCGTGGGTTCGGGTTTTATTGTCATCCCTAGAGGAGAACCTCCATATAGCTATGGTTTAGATAGATTAGATAGATGCCCCTCCCCACGCTATTGCGGGTCTAGATGTCCCATTACTCGTCAGTTCGCGTAATACCCACCAATAATGTAACAAAGTGGTAGAAGCCCAAATTGGGTCCATATCACTAATCATCGGCCTCACGACAGGTCCAAAAGTCAAAGCCCAACCTTCAGCTTGCATTTCATTCACACGTGTCCCCTCCCGCACGTGCGGAAACCGACGGATCTCGGATCTGTTTCGGTTTCGTTCATTCTCCACTGCTCCCCTCTTGTTCAATTTTCCTCGCCAATCTTTCTTTCTTTGAATTGATCTCCCTCCTAGTTTGCTAATCGCACACCATTTTCACCTCGTTTCATTTTCTTCCATCACGAAATTCGTCCAAGTTCCCTACCCCTGTCATTCCTGGAGCGAGTTCGACCCCGGGAAGAGCTCCAGCCATGGCTCTCATGGCGGCCTTGGAATCGGACCTTCGGGCTCTATCGGCCGAAGCTCGTCGCCGTTACCCTGCCGTTAAAGATGGGGCGGAGCATGCAATCATAAAGGTTAGGAGTTCCGACTCTTTCTTTGCAACTCGATTCCCAATACGTTCACACACTGCACATTTGTCTAGTGTTCGTATTGTGTAGAAATGGTGATCAGGAGTGCGACTTACATTGGTTCAACGAGGATATTAGGATGGAGGAATGAGGATAGAATTTAGTTATGCCGGTTAGTAAAATGTGAATTTCCCTGATCGGATACTGTTGTTCAAATGTTTCTGCCGATGGTGGATATTAATGTGTGAGCTGTGCAACTGTTGGAAGCATTGGAATTTGGAGATGGATGCCGTTTTAGTATTAAAACAGTAGTAGTTTTCTGAGATTTGGTTGTTGGAAGCCTTCCGACTTACGACTACTGCTGCTGAAATTTTAATATGGTGCTCGTATTTTGTTGCAACCTAGTTTATGGTGTTTCAGTTGAGAGTTGAAGTAATGCTGTCCTACTCCTATCACAATCTTAATCTTTCGGTTTGATCTGAACCTTTTCATTTCATTGGTAGCAACCATATTGTAGTAGTTTCGGCTATGGTGGACAGTTGTAGAACGATGTATGTGAACTTGGTGAGTTCAGGGGCACTATTTATACAGTGACTACTGTCACTTTAGTTGGCAGTATAATGTTTCCAGTATTCCCAGAATGTTACGTACATTGCCATTAATAGCCTCTGTTTGCGCTCAATTTGGAGTTTCATTGGCTATATTATCATCACCTTCTGTAAGCATCCTCGTCTCTATGTAGAAGTTATAGACCGATGGGAACTTATTGAATAGTTCTTACATGCAATTTTGGGAACTATGGTTGCTTTCACTTCATTTTTATGCTCAGGTTTGAGAAAGTAGTTTCTTTTATATGGGTTTGGAATTGTGCACTGGATGAGTTCCATCTTAGTCTAATGGGGGAATTTGATATTACCGTTCATTAATAAAGTATAGAATCTTAAAGGAGGGCTTAACATGTTTTGCCCTGTTATTGGTTATCCAAGGGCTCTTTTGATATTTGTTCTTTCGTTCTCAATGTTATGTTAGCTATATCTGTATCTTTCTGCCTCCTAGACCCTTACCTTACTTGCTAGGCTGCCTAATGAGTGTTTCTTTTTGGAGTTTTATCGTTGCAAAGAGAGACAGTGCATATATATTTTTTTGCAACGGAATTTGATCCTGTTGCTCATGGTTTTGTCCTGCAGCTCCGCAATTTGTCTAGCCCTAGTGAAATTGCAGATAATGAGGATATTCTACGAATTTTTTTAATGGCATGTGAAGTGAAGACTGTAAAACTCAGTGTAATTGGACTTTCCTGTCTGCAAAAGCTCATATCCCATGATGCAGTTGCACCATCAGCTTTGAAGGACATACTTTCAACATTGAAAGATGTGAGTACGTCTTTCCTATGAACTGTTGTCTTAGTTCAACACACATTTTAGAATGAACTGGTACAAGAACTTGCGATCCATATGAATCCAGTGCAAATAGATTGGTTGACTATTCAACTTAATTCCTTTTCATATCAGTTTCTCTGCATTCTTTTACCCTGAGTTACCAGCTATTAGATTCTAGTTATAATTTTGGACGTATCACTTTCTTTGTGCAGCATTCCGAGATGGCAGATGACAGTGTTCAACTTAGAACCCTGCAGACTCTGTTGATATTGTTTCAGTCACGTTTACACCCACAAAATGAGGTTCTTGTCACTTTCATTTGATTTTTCTATGAATTGTTTGGTTTACGACTCTTTTGGTAGGTTCTGTCTGTGTAAACTTTATTGAAAAAAATGAAAGTATTAATTGATAAAGAATGTTAAAGGAAGCTTATCAAATATCTTTTCCTTTCCCTTGGTAGGGCCCAAAAATCACCTACCAATGCATAGAGGGTGATATGGTTGCTTATTTGATGCCTGGCTTCACAATGACACTCAAAGCTGTTATGCGTCTAATGCAATGTTTTGTCTTAGGAAAATATGGCTCAAGCACTATATGTATGTCTTCGGCTTCTTGAGAACAACCGTAGCTCTGATAGCGTAAGAAAGTAAGTTAAACTGTTGCATGCTGACTTCAGTGATAAAGTTTATTCCGGACATTTTGTTTGGTCATTGTGTCTCATGGGATATATCCATTTTAATTGTGATTCCTTTTTCAGCACTGCTGCCGCTACCTTCCGACAGGCAGTAGCATTGGTGTTTGATCAAGTAGTTGTTGCTGAGACTCTTCCTGTGGGGAAGTTTTCTTCCGGAGTTCATCTTTCTCGATCTAGTTCCGTTACTGTTGATGTTAATCGGAGTATGAACCATTCAGAGTATGTCACGCCTTGAAGAAATCACGCCTGGTTTATGCAATAATTCTGGCATGTGCGTCCCGTAGTATATAGATGAACAAAACTGTATATATGTTGATATAAACATTATTTTCTAAGACCTCCTGTAACCAATTTAAGTATAACTAAGCCAGGCCAGAGTGTTCCATATAAGAGTAGCAACGTGGGAGAAGCTGAGGGAGAGATTATAGAATTTGTGCATTTATTGGTGTACTTTCTCAGTAAATTTCATCATAAAACACGCTCTCCTACTTTTCTAACTAAGCATGAACAGGTCACCTGGAAAAGACTTAGAATCTGAGAGATCATTATTGAGGAAAGAGACCCTGACAGATCCTGGAAAGATTGGACTTCGCTTACTAGAAGACCTGACAGCTCTTGCTGCAGGTGGATCTGTATGTGCTATTTGGAACTATCAGTCTATTGAATACACTCTTGCTGCATTTAATGTTCCTTGTTTTCGTTGTATGACATTTTTGGGTTTGTCTCAATTAGTTTGTTATTTTTGTAAGGTTATCAAATGGATATAACTAATTGAGCCTTTTCTCTTACAGGCAAATTGGCTGCAAGTTCATTCACTTCAACGGATATTTGCACTTGATATACTTGAGTATGTCGCTTGCTCTTCTATTTCATTTTTTCATTGTTCTTAATCCTTATACTGTTCTTTGTGCACAATAATTTGCTTTTAGGGTAGTTATTTTCAGGTTGAGGTGGTAGAAAACTCTAGGCTCTTTGATCCAATATACCCTAACAACAGGGGACTGACACTACACCATTTTTTCCCCATTTGTTACCTATCTTTTACTCTTCGTTGTCCTCCCCCGCCCCCTCCTCTTTTCCTTTTCTCGGGTGCCTGATGGGCGGGTTTTCCATTTTTACTGAAATAGAGTACTTTGCATGTTCCCAGCTTTTTACTTGTATTAATATATAGCAATTGTTAGGATTCTGCCATCCATGCTTATTTTGGTTGTATCTGTTTTAACGTTCAGTATCATATTTGTGTATTCCACTTTCCTTTCTTCTATTAATAAAGTTCATCATGTACATAAAATAGAGAACATACCAATGGTATGTTAAACTGTATCAGCCAAGCTTTGCCTTCTGCTACTCGGTGGGATTTTTCACCACCAAACTTTTAGCGCCAAGAGGCTGTGTGCATTTTGTCAAGTTGCTCCTGTTGCCATCGCAGTTGCTTTGTCCATACCCACTATAAGTCATCAGTCCAAAATGTAGTTGAAATTTCTGTCTGTAGATTATTATTTCCAAAATTTTGTATCTTGCACATTTGTTCTTTATCTTTCCTGGCTTATTATCAAGAGACATTTTGTGCAAACTTGTCTGTTTCTCACAATTCCTCCACTCTATAGGTTCATTCTATCGACTTATGTGGTTATTTTCAAGACCCTGGTTCCTTTTGAACAGGTGAGGTATTACGTAGAATTAATTCTGTAGGGATCCTCATTCCAGTTTTGTTAATCAACTGTGCTCATAGCTTTTCTCTTTATGAAATTCGTTTTATAACTAAACAGGTTTTGCGCCACCAGATATGTTCTCTTTTGATGACTTCACTTCGTACTGATGCAGAGGTAGGTTTCTTTATGAGGGTAGGACGTTTTTTTCTTCTATTTTACGAGGAATCTAACAACCACACAATGTTGGCCTTTTAACTTCTCCCAGCTTGAAGGAGAAGTTGGGGAACCTTCATTTCGGCGGTTGGTTCTGCGATCGGTTTCTCATATTATTAGGTTGTACAGTACAGCACTTGTCACAGAGACAGAGGTATGTTTTGAAATTATTTATTTATTGTTAATTCTAATGTAATAGGGGAAGGTACTCTCTTACATTCTTCAAATCCTTTTAGGAAGTTCTCAGTGGTTTCTTATAAGTTAAAGTGCTTCTATGTCAAATGCTTGAAACTTCAATGGCTTTTCCGTATGCACAATGCTGTTTGTAATGCTCAAATGTCTTCTAAGTTCTAACTGACCTGTTCATCATAAGAAACGTTCTCCTCTGAAGTGCAGGTTTTCATTAGCATGCTCGTGAAGGTTATCTTTCTTGATCTACCACTTTGGCATCGCATTCTTGTTCTTGAGATCTTGCGGGTAATGTCTCCTGTTGCTTCTGGATTGTTTCATATATTAACAATTTGTTTTTTTTGGGTAGAAATTAACAATTTGTACCAACTCGTTCATTTGTATTTTTCAGGGGTTCTGTGTGGAAGCAAGGACTTTGCGGATCCTATTCCAGAACTTCGATATGTAAGATATGTTCAGTTTATCCTTCTCGCATTGTCAAATGTTCGAGAGTCTCTATTTTTCTGTCTGTCTCCATCTATGACTTTTTCTCTTTTGTTCTGTATATTCGACTCCTCTATAGCGAGGATGAGTAGGGATCCTATACACTTTTGACTGTAGCCTATTCCATGGAAGCAAGTGTATTTCCAGTCTAAGAACAAGTAGGCCACTGTTGGGACAGTAATCACGTATCTTCAACACTTTGGAAATTGAACTTTATTTGGTGATGCATGTTCACCTGTCTGTGTTGTTGCACCATCAAATTTATGAGCTTGCGAGCACAAAATGGCGGGAAAGTGCAAGAGTAACATTTTTGTGAACTTCATCAACCTCTCTTGCTAGTTTTTTTTTTACTGCTACCTCTCTTGCTAGTTACTTGTGATGTTACATATAGACCAACTGGAATAAGAAGTTGAGCTGTCATAGTACATCGGAATTTTACATGTTCTTTGTGTTTTCTCCAGTCGTCTTGTAGTTTCAGCTGTTATACTACCAACATAATCGTGTAATCCACTGAAATATCTGCATGCAAAGTGTTTTAGTGAGAAGAACAAATGACGGGACAGAAATGCAAAATTGCTTACATATTTGTCATTTTTTATTTGTTTCAGTGTTGATAACTTCATGAATTTGGTCACCTCTTCTTTCACAAGAGATTTCTCCCCCTGATGCTAATTGGTACATGTAATAATTGCACTCATGTCTACCTTGCAGGCACCCCAAGAACATTAATGTTGTGGAGAGTATGGTTAAAGCACTCGCTCGAGTTGTTTCTAATGTACAGGTGAAAGATTATTTGGTATTTGTTTAGGTTGTTTAGTGGGGCAGGCATCTCGTAGTAATTAATGGCCTAATCAGTTTCGCAATAGTTATTCTTTATTTCATTTGGAGACAATTTTTCCTAAGTATATTCCAGTTTGTATGTGATGAGCTTTTAAGTCTAGTCAAACTTTTTTTGTTTGTTTGTAGATGGCTGACTAAATAATTACATCTTGATGCGAACAACTGAAGTCTATATTTTGTTTATCTACCCTTTGGCTTGACAGCTTCGGTTTCCTATTTCATTATAAATGATGCTAATAATTGCTTCGTGTTTCCTATCTAATGGATATTTCATACAAGCTTTGGAACTAGTTCCGCGTTTTTTTGTTGATAAATGTGGCTAGTTCCACGTTTGGAGTACCTGTTTCTTCTGCGTATGTGTTCACGCTTTTGGCACCTACTGTTTATACTTTTGGTAATCGATTAATTTTGGTAAGAGGAACACGTTAGAGAAAACTGCACTTCATCGTTATTGTTTTATGTTGTATGTTTCTGTTTCTGTTACTGATAATGATTGGTTTAAGATGTTGCTTCAGTTTTGAAGCACAGTCAAACTACAGTATTTTTAGCCTCTCTATTCTCGTGCCATTGAGTACCATTTGGTGCTTTATATTCGTGGTGCTATCACTGTGGTTTAATAACCTCCACATTTATGGTTGTATAGGACTACCAACCTGTCAGTGTTTTTTTCTTCTTATATAATTAAGCCTCAAGGTTGTTATCTACTCTCATCCTGGTCGTAGTGCCCTCATGTCAATACCCTTTATTAGTCAATAATTCTGTCTTCCAAGTGTGGGAGTTAAAAGGTTTTACAACTTGTCTTTTGTCCATACTAATTTTCTTAATAATATAAAAGTTCTCTTTGCAATTTTAGGCTCAAGAAGCAAGCGAGGAGAGCTTGGCAGCTGTTGCAGGAATGTTTAGTAGTAAAGCTAAAGGTAGCATTCCGTGAAGTGACCAAAATTTTACCATCATCACCTTGCTGCGATATGAATGGTTTGCAAAGCTGTTACTGACATTCGTAAACAAACAGATGAGCATTGCCTCTGAATTCAATAAACATTATAATTTGGAATTTGTGCTGTGTTTGCACTGTGATAGTTTTGTGATGATTTCAAGCCGGAGCTGTTTAGCGTTTCTTTAGTTTTAGTAGAAAAGAGAAGCTGGTATTTATTCACAATAAGTTGCTTATGATAAAAAGGGATTTCCTGCCATCCAAATTTAGTTGAGGAATCAAATATGTGGAAAGTATCTCTTTCAGTATCAAGTTTTTTTTTTTGCATGCTAATGGTGAATGAAAGTTGTATCTCCTTTATATTCTAGTAAATTGCATGACACTTTTATTTGAGAACTGAAAATATGGGTCAAATGATTTTCTCGTGCTGGTGGTGAATTGGGGTTTGTCTGATGGACCATCCCGTGTCATGGTACTGGTGTGTATGATAAGCAACTTATTGTGAAAGGTCACGATGTACAATGGTTCAGAATTGACATTATTCATGACTGATTTACTTGCGTCACTTGTTCTCACCTGTATATGAACTTACGACCTTGTTGCATTTTTTATTTTGTAATTCCGTAGTTTGTATTAATGCAGGAGTTGAGTGGAGCCTTGATAATGATGCATCCAATGCAGCTGTGGTGGTTGCTAGCGAAGCACATCTAATAACACTGGCAATTGAAGGGCTCCTCGGTGTTGTTTTTACAGTGGCTACTCTGACAGATGAAGCAGTAGACACTGGAGAGGTGATTGTACTGTATTTATATTATACTTTTGTAATTATATTTCTCTTGCCCCAGTCTCTTGAATGCACATCTCTCAGAAACTAAAGGATGGTAGATCTTGTTTTTTTGGCTGCATCCAGCTTGAATCCCCTAAGTTTGATCATGATCCTGCATCCAAATGCGCTGGTCAACTGGCAGTGCTATGCCTCGCAATGGTAGACTCATTCTGGTTGACTATTCTTGATGCGTTGTCCCTTATTTTATCAAGGTTGGTTGAGTTATCCCAAATCAGTTCAGTCTAAGATTTTGTTTGGTTGATCGTTTTCTCCCTCGTCTCTTCTCAACATCATAAAGGAGCATGGTCCATTCAGACTGCTCTGAAATCCCTGCTCTTTTCTTTTTCAAACCTAAATCAAAGTTATGCATATTCCTGACCAGAATCTTATGTTAAAGGTCACAAGGAGAGGCTATTGTCTTGGAAATATTGAAAGGTTACCAGGCATTCACACAGGTAATAAGAATTTTTACATTGGCTCAGAACGGTCTTGTAAACCTTGTGGTGTTAAGTAGATGATGATATGGCCTAACTTTACCGATTCACATAGTTTTTTGTAAATGATGCTTATGAATTCTAGGTTTATTCTACAGGCATGTGGGATTCTTCATGCTGTTGAGCCTCTGAACTCTTTTCTTGCATCGCTTTGTAAATTCACCATCAATGTCCCAAATGAAGTAGAGAAGAGGAGGTGCGTTTCAACTATCTGTTCCAGTCTGTTAACAGAGGTTCATTTTTCATATTTTATCATCTGAAGCTTTGTGTCCTACCATCATGAGAAAGTTCTTACACTATACCAGCTCGCGCCCTCTGAATTTACGTTCCTTCTTTGTATTCCTTCTAAGTCTAGTCCTTAAATGACGTAGATCCCGATTCCCTAGCACTTTCAGAAAATTGGGCGTACCCATTTCAAGTTATGTTGTATATTTGTAACTTATAAGGAAGCTTCTAAGTGCTAGGTGACTTTGAATCGGCAGTTGGAACTGTGGACTTAACTAGCAGTACCTATCCAGTGCATTTTCAACAAGGCTGCCACTGGAGATACTTTCTGAAAGTTGACAGTTCTTAAGGGAAAGTTCTAGCTGCGTCAGAAAACAAGTGGATAATTAGAGTTCGATCGAGTTGAGAGCTTTATGATTTTGCCCTTTGCACTTAATCTAACTGAGCAGTATTTTTTAAAACTGCTGATTGAAGCTTGCTTAGCTGGTGCTGGTGATGCAGTTTCTACGACTTTGCATCCACTTCCAAGATTTGGTTGCATGAAAATGTTAAAGTTCTGGACTAAATGGTCATTTCTACAGTGCAGCACAGTCTCCAGGGTCAAAACGTTCTGAGCAACTAGTTGAACAGAAGGACTCCATAGTTCTTACTACCAAGAATGTGCAGGTACTTGTCCCACTTCTTATATGGCACTTTCATCTCTCTTTTTCCACTCCGTACTTTAATTAAGTAATTGCTTTCACTCCCTACTTGGGACTTTAACTGTCTGTAAATTGTTGTCCAACTGCTCTTCTAATTCAGGCCTTGAGGACTCTCTTCAACGTTTCTCATAGATTGCACAATTTTTTGGGGCCATCATGGGTTTTGGTACGTCATTTTTCTGTCGAGATTTTATTGGTGTCAAAAGTATGCAAGACTGCAGCTTGGTAATGCTTCTATTGTGGTAAATACAGGTTTTGGAAACTTTAGCTGCTCTAGACAGAGCAATCCATTCACCACATGCTAGTACACAGGTAAATATGTAAACATATATTTTTTTTTGTAAGATTTGTATTTTTTTTGTCCTAATTAGTTTGATCCAATTATTGCTTATTTATACCATCAGTACACGTAGTCATGGAGATAGGTTTTTTCAATAGGAAAAACCAAAAAACAACATATTCAACAAAATGCTTCCTACCACCATTTACCCACTCCTTGTTTGGCCCCATAAGTCCAAATTGGTAAAGGTTGAAAAGAAAGTTAAATAGAGCAGACTTTTCCCACACAATTAACCATGGGCCGAGAGGCATCCATATACATCTTAACTTTCTAATATCTTTCAGCTTCCTTATTGTCAGTCTTAGGCAGTCACCTTAAGTGCTCTATGTTTCTGGACTCTTTCTTTTTCTTTCTTCACAGAATATGCTGGTGAACTTTTGTGCGTTAACAACTTCATTTTGGGTTTGTGCAGGAGGTGTCCGCAACTGTGCCCAAGCTTACAAGAGAATCTTCTGGCCAATATAGTGATTTCAGCATTCTTTCTTCTTTGAATTCTCAGGTAACAAATAATTCAGGGATGTGAAATTTTCAAGAGATGCTACTATTAGTTTTCAATTACATCAGGGTTTGACAAAGTGAATTGCCTTAGAATATTTGGTTATGATCAAATGAGCATGGCCTGCAAATGTTTCAAGTTGGTCCTTCATTTTTGTCTTCTCCCTCTTTTATTGCCTTTAATCTCTTTAGGAAAGAGGGGCCAGAGTTGATTTCATACCTTCTCTAACTTTGTTTTCTTGTTTTGGTGAAGCTGTTTGAGAGCTCAGCAATGATGCATATAGCTGCTGTTAAATCACTACTTTCTGCACTGTGCCAATTGTCATATCAATGCATGTCCACAGCAACAGTATCGGGCAGCTTTGGACCAGGAATCAGTCAAAAAATAGGAACCATTAGTTTTGCTGTCGAGAGGATGCTATCCATCGTTTCCAACAATGTTCACAGTAGGAATACGCTTACTTCCTGAAACTCAAACTTTGTGTATGGCTAGATTTTGTGGTCTTACCAGTGCGTCTTACTGCTGCTGGGGATATTATATTGTGCTCTGTGCCCACTTTCTTTTTCGTTTTTTTCCCTCTCTCCTCTTTCTTACTCTCCTGAAGGGTGTTTCTTATGGAGCTTGTGTTACCCCTGTTATTCTTAATTAACCCATTGCATTGCAGGAGTTGGACCACTGTGGGGTCAGATTGCTGGTCACTTCCTGGAGGTGATATGGGATTTTTATCCCTTCCTTTTGGTATTTAATGTACTTTATCACTTCCTACATCCGTTGCATTGCATATTTTTCAGCTTGCTGATACCCCTAATCAACATTTACGAGCCATGGCACTTGATGCATTAGATCGCTCAATGACTGCAATTTTAGGTTCTGAAAGCTTCCATGATTATGTGTCATCCAGATCCAATGGGCCACCAGATGTAAGTGAACAACAGCTTTAGGGATGACTAACATAATTTGTTACTCATTCAATATATGGAGTCGTTACTCATCATTATGTATTCTCTATCCCCAGATGACGAGCAATACAGAGCTGAAAACACTCGAGTGTTCCATCATATCTCCCATTAGGGTTCTCTATTTTTCCTCTCAAAGCGTTGATGTTCGTACTGGATCGTTAAAGATTCTTCTGAATGTTTTGGAGGTAATACACCATTAATGGAGATGACAATGATTTTTTTAACTAGGTTTCAATTATTATTATATTATATATAATTGCTTAAGATAATTTTAATTTGTAACAAGAACTGACCGTGAAAATCTATTCCTCTCAGAGACATGGTGAAAAGTTATACTACAGTTGGCCAGATATTTTAGAACTGCTGAGGTTTGCAATTTAAATTGTCATTAACGTTGTCAGACTTGATTTCTGTTTCTCTGGCTGATCATTGATGTTTTTTCACCATTTCAAGGCGCATTGCTGATTCACCAGAGAAAGATCTTATATCCCTGGGCTTTAAGGTTAGTTTAAACTGTTTTTCTTCTAGATCTTTACAGATACCATCAGTTAAGTAGATATCTAATGTTTTTAATGATCCACTGATACTTGGATGCTTTTTTGGGAATTAGGAACCCGTCCAGTATGCGTAATTATCTTATATATATGTTTAAGGAATTGTGTACCTGTGTTCCTGTGCACACTGTTTACATGTGTGAAGTTGAGTCTCAAATATTAGACTAACTACAACAGTCCATACTAACTTGAATACCTTTTCCTTCAAAAATTCTCTTTTCAGTTCCTAATTCATCTTTTTTACTTCAATCATACAACTCTCTAATTTAATACACTTAATTTTTCCCCCTTTGATTTGCTAACATAAATCGTACTTATATGTATGCTAATTAATGTTTTTCCTCTAATATTTTCATAGTTTGTCATTTTTTCAAAAGCAAAATTTTCAATATATATGGTGGCTTCTACGGTACCTCGGGTGAAAATGCTACTAGACCTCGAATTAGTAGGATTTTTTGGCCAGAAACTATACCCTAAACCTTAATGAGTGCACCCTAGGTCCTAATTATCTAAACCATAAACTATAAACCCTAAGATTGTACATTCATTTTTTTTGTCTATATTTGGACGAATCATAACCGTCGATTATTTTTACTAATTAAATTGATCTTTGATATAAGATTTAGAGAAATAAGACATAAGTTTTGATCTTTAAAGGTTAGAGTATAGTATCATGTACGAAAGATCAGTCAATTCAAAGTCTAGATAGCGTTTTCATACTTAAGGTATGCGGTACCTCGGATTTCACCCTGTGTATATGGTTATGTCTTCGTTGCACTCACTTTTTTGGGGACGTTTAATGCACTCGCCTAATTATCGTCATTCGGGGCTGACAATTTATGTGAAAACGATGTCAATCGTCACTTATGGTATGATGAATAAGAAACACATGGATTTGTTTAAAAATCATTCAATATTTTACTTAATTTGAATGATTTAGGGTTTAGGAATTTAGGGTTAGAGTTTAGAATTTGGGATTTTGAGTTGAGATTCAAAATTGAAGGTTAAAGGGTTAGGAAAATGGATTGATTAGTTGTGATTCTATGTTATATTATCATATTAGACTAATGCTATCAATTAAAGTTTAAAGTATTATGATCATTGTTAGAATTAATGCACCCAAAAAAAGTGTGTGCACTGAAGTAGTCACTATATATATATGGAGACGACTGGTATACTCCAGGAGCATAGTATGCTCCAGATGATCTGACCGTTAGATTTATATATATTATTTCGAACATTTTTTCCAAATGATACTTTATGAATGTTACATGTGATTATGGTTGTGTGATCGTGTTTTGTTAACTTTTATATATTACGGGTTATTTAAAAGTCTTTTTTCTGACCATTATTTTACGCTTTTTGTGTTAGTTCGTTAGTGAATCGTGATAATGGTTTTGTATAATTCTATCTCTTGCAGAGTCTCCGTGTTATAATGAATGATGCGATTACCTCTATACCTGTAGAGTGCCTTAACGTGTAAGTTTCCTAATTGATATTTTCTGCATCAACTTAGCACATGTTCTGGCAGTTTCATATAAATCTTATTACCTGTAGAGTGCCTTAACGTGTAAGTTTCCTAATTGATATTTTCTGCATCAACTTAGCACATGTTCTGGCAGTTTCATATAAATCTTATTTTGAAGCCCCATTATGATTTAAGTTTGAAGATCAAACCATGGTAGTAGGTTATGCATTGGGACGGTCTTATATCATATTGCTGCTGTGCTTATAATTTGTGTTTGGGTTTTTTGCACTCAAGATGTGCCTCTCTGACTACATTTAGTTTGATGGTGAAGTGCTGATTTCGTTTCTGATGCATATACATCAGTGCTTTTGTCAAGCAAAGTGGAAACACATCCAAGATATATCCCGATTTCAAGTTGTTGCTATAATTAAACCTGTATTTATGTTGGTAATGCAGATGCATTGATGTCAGTGGAGCATACAGTGGACAGAAGACAGCGCTTAATATAAGTTTGACAGCAGTAGGCCTCTTGTGGACGACAGCTGATTTTATTGCTAAGGCAGTTCCAAATAGGCCACCACAAGACAAGCAAACAAGTTGCTACTAACCCTTTAGCTTAGTTCAGTCTGATCATTTCAAATGTTTGTGATGTTGAACTTTCCAAATACCTGGTGACTGACAGGTACTTCAGGCATGCATTCTGACCAGAATCCTATTAAGGGAAAATCAAAAGAAGAAGAGACTCCTCCATCACCTAATTCATTCACTGATGAGCCCCCTTCAGAACATGTCATGGACTGCGACCAATTGCTCTTCTCTGTTTTCTCTTTACTACAGAGGCTGGGAGCTGACGAAAGGCCGGAGGTATAATACCTTGTTTTTGCGTAGTGAGTTTCTGTCTGAGTAGGAAAGTGCACTTGCTAATTGAATTTGGATTTGAGAGACCAATATTTAACTGAAGGAATTATTCTGTCATTGCTGTTGACTGATCTTTTTGAATGAGAAACTCTGGTTCTTCATTACAGGTTAGAAATGCAGCTGTCAGGACACTTTTTCAAACTCTAGGGAGTCATGGGCAAAAGCTTTCAAGAAGAATGTGGGAAGACTGTCTCTGGAATTACATCTTCCCTGCTTTGGATCGTGCATCTCACATGGTAGCAGCACTGTCATTAGATTTTTGTGTGAGAGCGCATTTCTTGTTTGTTTCAACAGATTCAAGTGGTTTTTGTAGGTAGCTACTTCCTCGAAAGATGAATGGCAGGGCAAAGAACTAGGAACTCGGGGAGGGAAAGCTGTTCATATGTTGATTCATCACAGGTTTAAATATGGTTTAGGAAGGAATCAAACTGAAATTAGACTCTTACAAAAGTTCCTACCTCAGTCAAAACCTTTTTGTTTCATTTTTTTCTTCTATGCTTGAATTTGCAGTCGGAACACTGCTCAAAAGCAGTGGGATGAAACACTTGTTCTAGTCCTCGGTGGAATAGCACGTTTGCTACGTTCGTTCTTTCCATTTCTCAGTGGCCTGAAAAACTTTTGGGCAGGTAGGCTGCGAACTAGCTTCCTATCTCCTATCATAGTGCCTTCGACAGAATAGGTTCTCATGAATCTTGCATAATGTTTGGATCCATGCAGGGTGGGAGTCGTTGATTTTGTTTGTAAAGAATAGCACTTTAAGTAGCAGCAAAGAGGTTGCCATTGCTGCAATAAATTGTCTTCAGACAACTGTTATTTCTCATGCTCACAAGGTCATCTCGTTATCACTAAACCAGATCTTGTGCAACAATTGCAGCTTGAATCCTGCCGCCTTATCATTATTATCTTTCTCAGATTGTGCATGTAGCACAATTGTACATACTCCCAGCCTTCTTTCTATTGTTTATTTTTTTGTCTTCTTTGGGTGCTATTCAGGGAAATCTGCCAATGTCTTACCTTGTCTCGATACTTGAAGTTTACGAGTATGTTATGCAAAGACCATTAAGCTACGGTGGTAATGCAACTAGCAAGGTGAAGCAGGAGATCATACATGGTCTGGGTAATCCACTTCATCCTGAAACTTCCGTAGTGTCGTTAGCTGCATATGCATACAAGAGCAACACGATTTGAGATTTACATCCATCATGATAGAAATTCATGAGGTCTATGAGCTCAAGATGCTACTAATCATCTGGCAACCCCTTGTTTTACTGTGACTTGTGCTTATACTTATGCCTCACTGAACTCATTACTATGTTGGCAGGAGAACTGTATGTGCAGGCACATAAGATGTTTGATGATCACATGTTCTCTCAGGTGCTTGATATCATAAAGTTGGCTGTTAAGCAAGCACTGATGACCAATGAAAACTTTGAAGCTGAATTTGTAAGAGAAGCACTCTCCATCCCTGGTGTATTAATCTTTCATCCACATTGAGATGATGGAACCGTGTCTAATCGAACTGATTCTTTCTTCTCTAGGGGCACATTCCACCTGTGATGCGTACTGTCCTGGAAGTCTTACCTTTGCTACGTCCAAGTGAGCAAATCTCTGGAATGTGGCTAATCTTGCTAAGGGAGATTTTCAAATACCTTCCTAAGTCCGATCTTTTACATGATGAGGATGAGGTAGCTAAACAAGCGAGCTTAGGAGAAAATACTGCAGGTATTGAATTGACTTGGTACACATTTGTTACATGCTCCTTTTTTGGGATTTATGCGTTTGAAATAATACTTTGATTTAATCACAATTTTCTTCCTAGACAACCTAATGAAGAGAAAGAATGAAACCCCGAGTGGAGCTAGTTCTGGCCTCTCAAAACAAGTTGAATCTCCACCCCAGAGCTCCGGACCAGCTGCGGCTGTCATTTCAAATTATTCTTTTGCAGAGAAGCTAGTCCCTGTGCTAGTTGAACTCTTGCTTCAAGCTCCGACTGTTGAGAAGTATATCATTTTCCCGGAAATAATTCAAAGCCTTGGAAGGTAATGGTCCTATTGTGCTTTATTACTGTTTTTGTGTCCTTGGTACTTTATGTAGTAAGGGTGTGTTTGCTTTGTATTTTCGAAAAAATTTAAATTTTAGTAAAGATGTAGTATCCTAATTTTTCAATTTCTCTGAAGAGTCCTAAAAATATCTCAAAATATGTTTGCCAGATGCATGACGACAAGAAGAGATAATCCAGACGGTTCACTCTGGCGGGCTGCTGTTGAAGGCTTCAATCGCATCCTCATCGATGACGTCTGCAAAGACGGTGAGCCTGATTCAGAAGTTAGCCGGCCTGCCAGACTACGTGTGTGGAAGGAAGTTGCCGACGTGTATGAAATATTCCTGTTGGGTTACTGTGGGCGTGCCATTCCCACCACCTCTGTCTCACCCATAGCACTTGAAGCAGACGAGGCGCTCGAGATGGCCTTCTTGAAAGTTCTAGGCGACAAGATTCTTAAATTGCAGACTGATGCCCCTGTCGATGTATAGTTCTGTGAAACTGGGATAAAATTAAAATCCACGATTCCTAAATTGATGCCCGCTGTATTCTTATCTCAATGGCTCTGATTTTGTACAGATTCTACAACGACTAGTTTCCACGATGGATGGCTGTGCATCACGAACGTGCTCTTTGCCGGTTGAGACAGTCGAGCTTATGCCGCCCCACTGTAGCAGATTTTCCATGCATTGCTTGCAGAAGGTATTTGCATTGAGCAGGTAATGTCCTCACTTGGCGAAAATTTCTATAGTTATAGCTCTTTTTTGTGAGATATGTTCTTCCATTCACTAAGAACTTAGTGTAACATAGTTGTAATGTGACCTCAGTTGTGACAATGAAATGACGAGTTGGAACTCTACGAGATCTGAAGTGAGCAAAATTGCGATCACACTCCTTCTAAGCCGATGCCACTACATATTCAACAGATTTCTAGTTGATGAAAAACACTTGGGTACGTAGCTTGTGCTGCACTTAGCGAACTTCTCCAGACAGACTAATATTTAATGTTTCTGTTTCATACCCGCAAACTGTAGGTGATCGTCCGCTGCCAAGAACTAGGCTGGAAGAGATCAAGTACGTGCTTCAAGAGCTTGCATGTCTCGAAATCCATCCCGAAACAGCAACTGTCCTTCCTTTACATCCTTATTTGAGAGATGGCTTGGCGGACAAGGAAGAACAGAAGAGGCGTCCGCATTTGCTCGTTCTGTTCCCATCATTGTGTGAGCTCATAATGACACGGTAAGGAAACCTTCCAAAACAAACTAGTAGGGATTGCGGTGACAATCTCGACCTCTTCATGCTGAAACTGTTTGATGATTGATTGGGACAGGGAAGCGAAAGTGCGAGACTGTGTTCAAGTTCTGCTGAGACTCGTGTCCAAAGAACTTGGGCTTGAAAAGGAGGATCAGCGGTCAACTCATATCTGAAGAAGAGATTCTTGGAGCATTATCTTTCTCTGTATCTATATGCAAAACAACGGGAGGACCAGGTTTTCGCGATCCTGAAAATTTCATTTCGGTGTCTGTTGTACTTTTTATTGTTTTGGTTACCATTTTTCCTACTTGTAGACAGAGAGCAGAGCGAGCTTCGACCGATTGGTAGGGTTCTATTTACGTATAGCAATAGCTTAGGCAAGAACTGTACCCGATTGAGGTTTCCGTTTTTCTTCTTATCTGGTGTTTGCAATACTGCTGCTTCCGTTGATTCAATTATAGGCTCGTCCTAGGGTAGGCTGGATAACCATTAGCTATGCATTTATTTATAATTAAATTTGGTTCTTTGGTTTTGAGTGGGATAAGATCTAAGAGTTGAGATTAAAAGATTTTTTATTTTATTTTTCACTTTTTCCCCCCGGTAATTATCAGCTTTCACTAATCACCGCCTGGGGAAACCAGGACCTGCAAAAACCCAGGAGCAACTCTGCTCCTCTGTTCTGTATACAAAAAACTAACAGAACTACATAAGCCGCTTAACTAAAAGACAAGAGACATCCTAACTTCTGTAAGAAAAGCAAAGTTTTCCATAGCATAAAAATTGAAGTCTTCAATTAACTGCTGAATCAACAGCCTGGATTCTTTCTTGTTGCCTTGATGTATATATATGAATGCAGTGTTCCTTCCAAAAGACACTAAGATACCAGCACCATATAGCCCCCTGCACAAAACCTTTACTTCCAGTCCTTACTATTCTGCAGATCCACTCAAGCAAGACTTCCCATGAGCTAGGCCAATAACTTGAGCCAAACATGGCTGCAAAAACTTGTAGAGAAAACGAACATGTGCAGAATAAATGTGTTCTATTTTCCTCCTCTGTTCCACACAACACACATGATGTTTCATTCACTTTCTTCCACTGCTTCAACTTGTCTAGAGTAGTATAATTCTGTTCAAGATTTATTCTACACATGTTTGTTTTCTCTGCAGGTTTTTGCTGCCATGTTTGGCTCAAGTTATTGGCCTAGCTCGTGGGAAGCCTTGCTTCAGTGGATATGCAGAATAGTAAGGAATGGAAGTAAATCGATATTCCAGCTTCCCAGGTCTTTTAATCCCATCCCTCCCTCCTTCTTAGGGAATGCAATAGCGTCCCACGCAACCTTTGCACGGCCCGTGCCCTCTCCAAACCAAAGGAAATCTGAACAAATTTTATGAATTTGATCCAAGAGCTTCCTTGGCAGTATAAAAATATTCATCCGGAACTGAACAAGAGAGTAGAGTACAGAGGATATCAATTGGAGCTTACCCGCATATGACAGTTTATTAGCACGCCACGATCTAATTCTACCAGTGAGCTTATCCACAAGGACTACACACAATCTGATTTTCAATCAACTTGTATCTTATTTACTTTAATTTAGATTTTGAATTTTATGTGCATATATGGTACGAGTTCATTGTGATTTACCAAACAATATAGATTTTTTATATATTTTGAGAAAATAATTTGGATCATTCATTATCACTCGTACTACCTTGAAATCAATTTGTACCACCTCCATAATAATTTTGTATGATCTACAAATTTTGGTTATTTTTGTATAAGGTTGTAATTGGTTTGTAGATGTACGTGGGCACCGGGCCGTGCCGCCCACGGGCTAGCACAACACGACACGAGCACGGGCACGAAATAAATGGGCCAGCCCGGCACGAGCACGAATAACTTAAGGGCCGTGCCGGGCCTAAACTTCATGGGCACATGCACGAGCACGGGCACGGCACAGTATATAAGTGGGCCGTGTTGGGCCTAATATTTTCGAGACTTTATTGAGTATAAGAACGAACATGGTACGGAAATAATATTTATATGATAGAAAATAAATATTAAAAGAATTATAGGTTCAAATGTTACAAAACACAAGTAGAAAAATAATTATTTGTTGTTGTTAAAAGTGTCAAAAAGATATATACGTAATTACTAACATAAGTAAAAATGGACAAAGAATTAAACAAAGCCAAATCATACTCGCTATACTTCCAATTTTCTTTTCCACCTTATTTGTTACTTTTCTCAAACATTATCGGTTAATACTATCTTCATCCTTCCAATTTTCACCTTCCTTTTCATTCTCTCTTTTGTTTTCGTCTTTTTCATTAAACACGAATATGAGCATGACGCGAGCACGAATAGGCACGACACGATTCGAACCGTGCCTCGGCCTGGGCTGGGCCTAGCAAAGTTAACAAATGGGCTCGCATGGCACGACACGAAAACTGACGGGCCGTGTCAAGCACGACACGAAATAAATGGGCCTGAAGCGTGCCCGTGACATGCCGTGCCGGCCCAAGCACGGCCCAACGCCCATGTACATTTGGATCTAGCCCTGCCCGTTTGTTGGAACCTATGGTTGGTCTTGTGCTGCTTGAATATGAGTTGGACAGTCACTAAATTTAAGTTTGCATGGTACTGAATGTTACCTAAATGACAAGGAATATGAGTGAACTAGTATTCAATATGAGTTGAATTTGTCACTGAGTTTAAGTTTACATGGTATCGAATATGATTTAAATTGACAAGAATATGACTTCACCTATTATTGAATATAAGTTGAATAGCCAATGAGTTTAAGTTTACATGGTTTTGAATATGACTTAAATGGACGATTAATATGAGTTTAGCTCGCGTCAAATTGAGTTTACTTGGTAGTGAATATGAGTTGAACTAAACTCAGAACATGCATTTACAAATATCTAATAGATGGCATACCCATATTAGTTAAAAGTTGAAACATAAAAGAAGAGTATTGAATGAGTTCCAACATGTATTCTCATTTTTAGTGTTAACTAAAAATTATTCAAATTCTCATCTTCGATACTAGTTCAACTCATATTCATATAAATGTCAAAGCATATTGTGTACTATGTAAACCAGTATTCAACACTATTACTAACAGTAAACAAAGTAAATAAAGATCCTTTTTCGTTTTGTCCGTTAGTAATATTCGTTTGTGTCTGGAGTATTTGTTCGTCTATATGTCGAATACTTGTTGATATGTTTTGAATAATAGTTCATATGCTTTTCAATAATAGTTTGCGTAACAATGTTTCATGTTTAAATTGTCCGCCAATTTCGCTATGGTGCACATAGCCTTTTTTGTGTGTATGTGCACACAAAGCCCTCATATGTCACTGAATTTAAGTTTACATGATATCGAATATGATTTAAATTGACAAGAATATGACTTCGCCTATTATTGAATATAAGTTGAATAGCCATTGAGTTTAAGTTTACATGGTTTTGAATATGACTTAAATTGACGATTAATATGAGTTTAGCTCACGTCAAATTGAGTGTACTTGGTAGTGAATATGAGTTGAACTAAACTCAGAACATGCATTTATAAATATCTAAAAGGTGGCATACCCATATTAGTTAAAAGTTGAAACATAAAAGAAGAGTATTGAATGAGTTCCAACATGTATTCTCATATTTAGTGTTAGCTGAAAATTATTCAAATTCTCATCTTCGATACTAGTTCAAATTATATTCATACAAATGTCAACGCATATTGTGTACTATGTAAACCACTATTCAACACTATTATTAACAGTGAAAAAAGTACATAAAGATCCTTTTTCTTTTTGTCTGTTAGTAATATTCATTTGTGTCTGGAGTATTTGTTCGTCTGTCTGTTGAATACTTGTTGATATGTTTTGAATAATAGTTCATATGTTTTTCAATAGTTCATATGCTTTTCAATAATAGTTTGCGTAACAATGTTCCATGTTTAAGCCCAACATAATTCATCATTCTATTCGAACTAATATTCATAATTGTGTAACAATACTAGTTTCTTATTCGAACTAGTATTTTGTATGTTTTAAGTAATATTCATCATTTATAGAAACTAGTATTCATCGTTCAGAAACCAGTACTTGTGTAAACTCAATTCAAAATTATTTTCAACTCATATTCACTACAAATGAGTCATTTTGTACAGGTTGAACTCATATTCGTGAAGATGTCAACATAAGAATACCTATTTCTATATATATAAACTAAGAATACCTACTATTTTAATTTGTACAAGTACAACTCATATTTATCCAAATATTGAACATGCTTAGTAATCCTAACCCTCGTGATTTCAACCCCAATGACAGATTGTGGAGAAATAAAAAAAGATGTGGAAGAAGGTTGTGAGAGAAGAAGTTTCAGAGCAAAAAAGAGAAAAGTGATTTGAAAGAAAGAAGCTTTGGTATTTTTCTTCTTCTCTTCAATGGCAGATTGTGGAGAGAGAGAAAAAAGATGAGGAAGAAGGTTGTGAGAGAGTCTCAGAGAAAAAAAAAGAAGAGATTTTAAAGAAAAAATAAGGTTGACAGGTTGAAGAAAGAGAAAAGGAGAGAGTGATTATTTTCAGAGTTTTATTTTCAATATTTAATCTCTAATCTTGGGAACCTCACCCACCATTCAGCTTAGCCGGCTTCGTTTTGAGCCGCTCCCTCCCCTTCTTTCCCCCTTCCTCCAGCCGTTGCTTCCTGGCTACTCATTTTTAAGTGGGTGGTCCTTTTGCTGAGGTGGACCAATGAGGGCTTTGTGTGCACATACACACAAAAAAGGCTATGTGCACCATAGAGAAATTGTGTTTGCAATACTACTGACTAGTGGCTTCCTTTGATTCAATTATAGGCTCGTCCTAGGGTAGGGTGGATAACCATTAGCTATGCATTTATTTATAATTAAATTTGGTTCTTTGGTTTTGAGGGGGATAAGATCTAAGAGTTGAGATTAAAAGATTTATTATTATTTTTTTCACCTTTTCAGTCAACTTGTATCTTATTTATTTTAATTCGGATTTTGAATTTTATTTTTTTGCATATATCGTACGAGTTCATTGTGATCTACAACACAATATAGATTTTTGATATATTTTGAGAAAAGATTTCGGATCTTCCATTATCACTCGTTACTACCCTTATATCAATTTGTACCACCTTCATTTTAATATAAATTTTGAAATTTTTTGCACAGAAGATGAGGAGGGTTCATAATAATTTTTTATGATCTACAAATTTTGGCTTTTTTTCATATAAGGTGGTAAACAGTATCTTATATATTCGTATTATTATGTATACAATCATTCTATACCAAGTTATTCTATAAAAAAAAGGTATGTTCATAATATCATGTTACACTTCCATCTTCTCATGATATAATTTTATGTACATAAAAAATTACTATCATGGTATAGACTGTTAATATATGGCTCAATTTTTTTTTGTTCCAAAATATATCTAAGTGAATGTCATTTTAAAAATAATGATTAATATGACTTTTATGTACAACATATTTGAATTCGGACTAAAATGAAAGAGATATAACTAGATAAATTTAATTGAAGAAAAAGTTATTCATGGTCAATAATTTGGTTGGTTAATGACTAGATCTGCTCCCCAATTATAACTCTTTCTTCAAATCATAACTATGGAAAAAATCCAAAACTACCACTGTTAATTTTTTTTTTTACAAAAATACCACCTTCACCAAATAATTTCCAAAAATACCATCGTTTATATAAAACCGCGCCTCTCACGAGCGGTTTTTAATGAAAACGCGCCTCAAGGCAGCGTTTACATCACAAAACGCTTCTCCAAGGAGCGGTTTGACCTTGCATGGCTGTCAAACCGCGTGTTCACGTGGCGGTGCATCAAACCGCTCATTGGGAGAGCGATCTGAAGGCCAAAACGTGTGCCAGCACGGCGATCCGCATCGCCCAAGCAAACCGCGTCCTCGAGGCATGGTTTGACTGTTGGGAAAATCAAACCGCGCCCCCGAGGCGCGGTTTGACTGTTCGGGAGAAGCAAACCGCGTTCTGGAGGCGCGGTTTTCGTTGAAGAAAAATGACGAAACGGCCCTCCCCCACGCGGTTTGTGCCCTATATAAACCCCCTCCCCCCTTCATTTTTCTGCACACCAAACTCACTCCCCCCTCTCTCCCTCTAATTTTTCTCTACCCACCCCCTTCCCCCACCCAAAAACCTTAGAATTAGTGATTTTGTTGGTTGCGGCTAAGTCTGATCTGCCTCCAAAAAACTTTTTCTTTGGTTTTCACTAAAAACCCGTCGAACCTCTGTCCGGATTCCGAGAGAATGGCCGATTTCGCTCAAGAAGAGGGCCTTTTTTATGATGATTATCCAATGGTACGTACTCATTTTTCCCAATTGTTGTTGTTGTTATAATGATTTATTTAATTTATATACTAATGATTTATGTTATTGTTATGTTATCGTAGGTTGGGCCGGATGTTGATATTTTCAATCAACGATATTATGTTGATCAAGGACCGATTGATCCGACAGTTTTATACGATCAAGCAAATCATCATTCAAGAGACGTTTGGAACGACCACAAGGTACATATTATTTATCATCACTTGTAATTTGTATTTTGTTAAAGTAATTTATTTGTTTGTACAATAATTTACTTAATTGTTAATCGTATTGATTATTTTCAATAATTTAAATCAATACAATACAACACTTATTTAGACTCTTTATAAAGAAATGCATGTCTAAGGAAATGGGGACTTAAGCGATCATCATGATCCCCCCATGACCTGGGAAAATCGGGTTCTAAGCGATCCTCGGATCCTCCCTTTTTCTGTCAAAAAGACTGTGTTTCTATGGAGATGTATACCTCTCCTAAGAGTCTTACGAGTGTACTTGTATTGCTTTAAATTATTGAAAATAATCAATACGATTAACAAAATAATATATTTGGATATTATTTTAGTTATGTTAATATTAATGTTTATTAGATAATGTATATTTCTATAAAATTGCTTGATTTAATTAATATTGCATCTTAGAAAATTATTTTAGTTATGTTAAAATTAATGTTTATTAGATAATGTATATTTCTCTAAAACAACCTTGATTTATATATAAATTGTATCTTATAATATATTTATATATGTATAAATTATCAACTTATAGTGAAATTTAAATTCTTCTCTAGGATGCATACCATATAGTCCGCTATAGGGGCACAACGAATGTGCTTGAATGGAACGACGTCATCTTGTCCTTTCTAAAAAGGGCAAGATTGGATTCGATTAGGCATTTCAATGGAATTAAGATCGACCGCCAACTCATCACGGCGATGGTAGAGAGATGGCGAAAGGAGACACAATGCTTCAATTTTCGTGAAGGCGAGTGCACCATCACACTTAAGGACATCGCCATCCTAACCGATCTCCCCATCGATGGTTGGCAATATGAGTGGTTGGCAACATTTTATATGGACGGTCACCGGGTTGTGTCCGCCAGAAAAGGGAGATCATGATGCGGATGGTAATCCACCATTGTCGAAGGGCCAAGTATCCATCACGTGGTTGACAGCGGAGATCAGGCGTAAGCACAACCCTGAGTTCGGAGGTATTCCCCTCACGGAGAAAAGTTCGGAGCGCGACAGCTGACGAATATTCTGCATCTTCTCTTTAAATTTCTTCTCTTGGTACGCAACAGCTGATGAATATAAAAAAAAAACGTAAGATAAGCAAGATCGACCTTATTGCCAATACAAGTACACTCGTAAGACTCTTAGGAGAGGTATACATCTCCTTAGAAACACAGTCTTTTTGACAGAAAAAGGGGGGATCCGAGGATCGCTTAGAACCCGATTTTCCCAGGTCATGGGGGGATCACGGTGATCGCTTAAGTCCCCATTTCCTTAGACATGCATTTCTTTATAAAGAGTCAGTATAAGTGTTGTATTGTAACCATACACTCCATAATTTTATACAGTTGAAAAAATTTACAGATAGACAATTAATTAGAACGCTTACCAATCCACCATAGACTGTCAGCAAGCTTCTTTCGCTTGAAATGATGGTTCCAGTTGCTCTTGAAATGCCGGATGCACCATCTCTGTGACCAGTTCCGGGCTGGATCCAAGCCTAAGATAGCAGCCCGTATACCGGCGTGGCGATCTGAGATGATAGTCAGGTTCGTCCGCCTGGTGACATGGAGCTGAATTTGTCTGAAGAACCATCCATAGCTATCGGTATTCTCTCCCTCCACAATGGCAAAGGCTAATGGATATACTAATCTATTTGCATCTGCTCCGCTGGCAATCAGTAGAGTACCCTTGTACTTGCCGGTAAGGAATGTTCCATCAACTTGAATCACAGGAACACAGTATGGAAAACCATCAATACATGGCTTGAAGGCCCAAAAAAGACGCTTGAATTGGCGATTGTTACTAGGCACCGGCGATTGAATTTCTTCATCTTGGTAGCGAGGCGAGAAAATGGTTCCAGAGTTAGACACCTCCAACGTCAAAATCAATTTGGGAAGGAATGCATATGATTCTTCCCAGTCACCAAACACGGTAGCCATTGCTTTCTGTTTCCCATGTCACGCTTTCTTGTAGTTAATGATATAACCATAACGACTAGAAATGTGGGCGATGATGGTTTTCACCTTCAGGTCGGGCTGCTCCTCAATTAGATGTTTGATAGCCGCGACAACCACCCTTGATTTCAACTGTCGATGGCCTTGGGATGTTATTGATGACACACATGTGTGTGTGTTCACCGCACGTGATATGACCCAATGGCCGACTCTCTTGCTCTTGATGGCCCGGACCCTAGCTTTGCATCCCTCATTGTGGTTTTTGCATTGAACCATCAGCCTCTTTGTGTCGGAATGGGTTGTCTGCCATTCAAAACTCCGAGTCATTGCTTCAGTGGAAATAGCGTGTCGGACCTCATTCTTCGTTGCAAATTGTTGGCCCTTCGTAAAGCCAGTTAGTGGACCCCATACTGGCACATCTGGCGGGTCCATGTCGGCATCAACATACCAATCTTCACTTTGAATGTGATTGTAGTATGGAATAGGTAGACGGTCGTGAGGTACCTCATCACCATCTGCGTCTGAATCTGGACCAGAATCATCAGCACCTTCCAGCGGATCGGAACTGTCTGCACTAACTTCGCCTTCCTCTTCTTCAACCTCAGGGTCACTAACTGGACTTGGATTGACCTCTTCTTCCATCTGATTATCAGCATGAAAGGCACCTTGACCTTCACTAGCTCCGTAATGGTAGTTGTGGTAACTAACACCGCTTTGATAGAAGTTGTACTCGGGTGGGTACTGGTAGCCTGCTTGTTGGTTGTAATCCGCCTGTTGAGCTTCTTCTTCATATGAAGGGAAGGATTGATGACTTCCTCCAGTTCTATGATGATGCTCCTGACTCCAACTCGAGTCTTGGAAATCCTGGTGGGGATGATCGCTGTATAATACACTCCCACCGTGGATACCAGATGTTTGGCCATCTCTAGAATGACCTACACTGCCTTCGACAGCCTCGGTGTAAACGAACATCTCCGCTTGCTTAATTTTATTGGTGGTCAAAAATTGGACCATGGCATCAACGTCCTCCTGAGTGGTAAGGAGGAATTCCTCATTCCACAGCGACCCGTCATATCTGTTTGGATATCGATACACCATTCGATCAACTCTTCTAGTGCCATCCATGCAGGTAATCTGAGTGCACATTTGATGGAGCTCTTCAAGCATCGGTCTCGTACGGACCTTCATTTTATGAAAATTGCCACCGACGTAACTTACACCCTTTTCGGTCTCTTCCGTGTAACCATTCCACCGCAACCCAAACGTGAACCTTTGGAATGCCATTTGCAATGAAAAGTAACACAAGTTACTAACATAACATCACAAAGGACAATGAAAAGTAATACAAATTACTAACATAAAATCACAAATGACAATGAAAAGTAATTAAGTTACTAACATAAAATCACAAAGGACAATGAAAAGTAATTAAGTTACTAACATAAAATCACAAAGGACAATGAAAAGTAATTAAGTTACTAACATAAAATCACAAAGGACAATGAAAAGTAATTACGAAACAAACTTACGAATTAACGTTAATTGCAAAAACTAAATAATTTAAAGGTGCTTTAAAGGTGCAAAGCTGAAATTTGAGGAAGGAAGTGTGAAGAATTGAGTTCTCCGAAACAGTCTTTTATAGGCAAACTTTGCAGCAAAACCGCTTGTGGGGGGGGGGGGGGGGGGCGGAGCGGTTTTATGTCTGCCATACAGCCCTACCCCTGCATGCCGACATGTTCGACATGTCGGGTGACCAGGCACAAACCGCGCCTTGGGGCAGCGGTTTCTGTCCTGACATAGTAAACCGCCCCTTTGAGAGGCGGTTTGTAATGCCGACAGTTAAACGCTCCCTCTTAAAGCGTTTTGTGGTAGGGTTAGCCTATAACCGCGCGTCCCAGAAGCGGTTTTCTCTGGAAATTAAAAACGCGCCTCCAAGGAGCGGTTATAATGTAAAACGCTGCCTAGAGGCGCGGTTTCATTAAAAACCGCTCATCAGAGGCGCGGTTTTGTATAAACGATGGTATTTTTGGAAATTATTTGGTGAGGTGGTATTTTTGTAAAATTTTTTTTAACAGTGGTAGTTTTGGATTTTTCCCCATAACTCTTGACGAATTCAGGATGCGAAATTTCACAATTATATGATATAATATATAATAGGGGAAACATGAATCGGTGATATAATAACTCATCATCATGGGTAATCAATCGAAATTAAATTGAATTGATTGAGAAATTCAATTGATATGGTTTTTTTTGTGAGTTTTCCCTGAACCTGGCAAGGGGGTAATGACTATGGTGCGAGTTTGGTATTTTAAGTATCCACATTGAACTCACCGGAATATATGCTTCAATTATAGTTCAGACTCACTAGTTTCAACACTTCAGTCATTCATATCCCTCAAGCACTATAATTATCTCTTAGATAACTTTTTTTTTTCCATTTTCCCTCACTTTTATAAACAATATCTTAACTAAACTTAAAAATAACATCTTTTTTTTTTACTTTATACAGACAACTTTATATATAGTTATCTAGGATGGTGGGAAAGAATTTTTTATTGAATTGCACACAATAGGTTTTGGTATGTCATTTTACATCCCACCTAATTTGAGTTTCGGGAATGGTTGAGTTCAGGGATAGTATATATAAAAACCTACCCTACCCCACCCCACCCGAATCCGTTGCCATCCCTAGAAACTGTATCAATTTTTTTTCTTCCTTTTGTGACTTCCGTACCGGTTGGACATAGTGCTTCTTTTTATTTTGAGGCTTGATTGCAACTTGCCACATATGTTTACGTTTTAGTAGAGCTTTTGTATCTAGTGGCCTCCATGGCCCATGAGTACATGTCCTCTCCCGTACCTTGCCACACATACATTTTTTCCTTGTATCAACGCAATGAAATAACGGGTATGTACAGTTCCTAAGAACATCGCATGACTAAAACAATGCCTCTCGTACCTTATGATACATCTATTGTCCATCTCATGCAAACACGCTCGGCAAGAAGCGTCAGGTATATATGCGTTCCTAGGCGCAAATGCAAACCCTGGGCCCCAAAGAACAACATACTTCGTGTAGTCGACACCATGTAGGTTTTGTGAAAATGTGTCTGTACATAGGTAACAAAACCTATATAGCTCAAAAAACGTACTTGCTAGAGCGCGCTTAGTATGTATCTTATCTTAATTCCATATCTAGGAATAAACTACACATGTGCGGTGGACACGTATGCTATGTCCACTTAATGTAAACTTTTTTACGCGCCCATATTAAGCGGGTGCAAAAGCATGCAACATGACCCACATATTCTAAAAAATGTGCTCGCAAGGAAGATCTTATAACATTCATTCAAAACTTCATTGCTAGACGCACAAGAAAAATATTAATGTCATCCAATGGGCACACATGCCCTACTTACTTAATGGTAGGTTTGCCAATGCTCCCATTATCAAATGCCTATGCCGAGAACATGCGCAAATAAACATTGAATGTAAAGTGGGTGGCAAACCAAGTAAACCAACTATTTTGGGATTGTGTAGTCTCGATATAAGCCAGCCATAAAAATCGTCCATAAAAAGGAAACACACAGGTCAAAAATGTCATTGTGAGGACGCGAGAAAGCTTACATCACTCTGTGAGTCCACTGCCATCCGTTAAACACGTTAGTTTGTAGTAGAGCTTTTGTTTTAGTGACCACCAGTCCTCCACCACTCATTACTAAAGGTCGCCTCACATACCCTGCCACACAACCATCGCTCACTGTATAACAATGTACTCAAGAGTAAATATATTATATGTATGTATTCTTAGGCGCAATCCAGGACTAAATGTCGAATGTCATATCTTGCACACACATCTATCTTATGCATCATACGCATGCCTAGGCGCAAATGCAAAGCGTGAGCATAAAATAATTGACACATGTC